AAAAAATGCTTTAACAATCGCAAGTCAACTATTTCTTACACATCACTAGTTTTGCAAACGCATTCGCATAAAACTTGCTCATGGTGCCGTACAAAATGGGATGGAAGGCGCCTGGAAGACAATACAATAAAAACATGTATCTCCTGACGATTGAGTAATAAGGCCAAGTTGATGGCCTGCCGTTTACTTGCTCGTAGATAAACGAAACTTGGATCGGAATGTAGCAAATGATAAAACTAATAATGATCACGTATATCATTCTTAGGATATCCAGCTCTAGATCTGTCACGTTTGCATCTGTATGTTGCGAATGTTTCGCTCTCTTCGATGTTTGGCCTCGAGAAGAGCGATCATCCAAGGAACCTTGTCTCCAACAGCATCCATTCGTAATTTTCGCGATTAGATATTTCGCGTTTCCCTCGGATCCGTTCTTTTGCGACGATTTATGAACAATTTCCAGTCTTTGAAGATGGATACACACCTGTTCATCTGTTTGTAGCTGTGTTCCGTCCTCTGTGGAATCACTTTTGCGCGCGGCAGCAGCCCTAGCCATGTGTCTCTTCAGTCTCAGAGCAACAGCACCGTACGATATGACGATTATGAGATATGGAACAATATAGCTTAGAAAGAGACGAACAATCGAGTAACGGCTGTGCGTTGGTGCATGGATAGTTGTATCGCCTGGGAACAAAGCTACACAAAAGTGACTTGTTCCATACTTAGTAACACTATGCACGACAGCAGATGGTGCGACAACTGTCAAGGCTGCGCTCCACAGCAGACTCAACACTAAAAATACTTTTCTCTTTGGCAGTGGCCCTAATTGACCGCGATATGTCCCAATTACTCGGTACCTTCGTGCTGCGATCAAAGCCAGAGTGTAAGTCACCACTAACGTGGCCGTCATTTGCACCGGAAACACAAGCTTGCATGCAGCTTCACCGAAAGGCCACGCTTCCATCCAATCGTAGACAAAGTAGAATGGAAAACACAGCGAACTGATCATTTCCGCGGCAGCCAGATTGGTGACCAGATAGTAAGAGAAAGGCAGTTGATGGTGAGACAACAAGAACATGGCTCTGCAGACCACAGCGTTTCCTACAACACTCGCCAGCGTGATAAGCACCAATACAAAAAGACGGAAAAAACTTGAGAGCGATGGCTCAGCGATGTAAGGATAAACACTCTGGGCGACTGAATCGTTGGCTGTAGAATTGAATGCAGCTGTAGAATTGAATGTGGCTGTAGAGTTCATTTTGAGATGTTCTGTTGACACCTAGTCGTCGCGAAAATAACTCTGAAGAACAATCTAGCGCTGAATATTGAT